AGAGGCTGAGGAGGCCTGGTGATGCCAATGCTGGGGTCAGCCTCCGGCCGCCGAGGAGGGTGCAGAGTGCCTCCCGAGGGGAAACGCAGGGCGGCCAGCGCAGTAATTGCTCTACTGGAAGCAGAAAAGATCTGAAACTCAGACAGGCCGTCGAAGCCTTTGCAAAACGCCCTCCACTGTCATCACAGGTAGAACCCTTGACGGCAGACCCACCCTGGTGGGACAGCTGCAGCCCTGAGGACCGTGATATTTGCCGGCTGAGGAAGCCTGCGCCACCGAAAAGCACGCTGTTTACTTGCCGGCGGAAAGCTGTCGAGGGCTCGCTCTTTTATAGCAGTTCCGCCTGTCTCGGTGGCCTGTTGTGAATTGAATAGTGTCTGTTTGCTAACAGTCAGCGTTAAACTGGAGACTCCAGGGAGGTGTGACTCAGACAAGTCCAGAACTCTCCGCGGACAAAGGCTGAAGCAGCTGCTGTCTAACGCAAAGCTACAAGGATGTGCTAGAACTTCGGCGTGTCTCCAGGCTCGCAGGTTCACAGCGGGGACCAGCCCAGCTGGGGACTCCCCCAGCCAACGGCGTTGATGCGTGACCCTGTGCTTCTGAGGGCCTGGCCCCTGCACATATCCGCAGGGTGCCCCCAGTGGGCCTCTTAGCCACCCGCAGCGCTGGTCCCTCCTTGATAAACGGGTTCCCTTCGTGGGAAGTAGAGAGACTGGTGCCAAATCTAGACATTTACCGAGAAAGGGACAAAACCAGAAGAGAACTGGGCGGGCTGCAGCTCAGCCTGGCTCTTGCTTGACCCCAAGTAGCTGATTTTTTTCCTTATGCACCTTCCCAGTTATTTTGTCTTGTTTTGCTTTGATTATAAAAACACACAAAAATCTCCCATAATTTACTATCCCAGCTAACGGCTTTTAACCTTTAGCTGCATGGTTTTGTTTTTTTTTCTTATTGAAATGTTGGTGCCCAAACTCAGCCCTAGAGCTTCTGATTTCATTGGACTTGGAAGGGGCCAAGTATCACTTTTTTAAACCGTGGCAAAATACACATAACATAAAAGTTCAACTCACTTTAAAAACTTTTATTGTGAGCTGGGTGTGGTGGTGCACACCTGGAATCTCAGTGCTCAGGAAGCTGAGGCAGGAGGATCACAAGAACAAGCCCAGCCCAGGCAACTTAGCAACTTAGCCAAATTTTAAAATTTTTAAAAGGCTAGGGATGTAGCTCAGTGCAAATCCCCAGATTCAATCCCCAAACCTCAAAAATAAATATTTTTATTGAGCATCTACTGTATGCACTGTATACAAACGAATCCAGACCAACACAATAACTACCTCCTGATAAGGAGAGTTGGTGAGCAATAGCCATGGGAGAGCAAGGTCAGAGGCAAGGGCAGGCAGAACTCTAGGTTTCGCTGTCATTGTTTGGGCTGTGCACCTATTTACCGAGTGTACGCTGTATACCAGGCAATGGGTCGGGTCCCAGGAGCACAGGTGCGAACAATAGCTCAGCCAGGCCCTCGCAAACCAGGTACCCAAGCCCACCTCCAACTCTTGCCTTTCTCGTCCTGGTCAGGATATTTTTGCTTGGCAACATACGGCATCCACCTCTGTTCGCTCCATTTACGTTGCACCTGGCATAGACAGGCAGAACAGGGGTCACCCGGCCCTGCACAGTTAAAACCCTTTGTCCAACATCACAGCGTTCGAGGCCTCAGGCTGCCCACCGGATCCCAAGCAGTTTCCGGGGCACGTGCACTGTGTCACAGAGGGGTGAGCTCTTTCCATCTCTGCTCGGCCTCAGAGGAGGGTCTCTGTGGGCCTCTGCTGTCACTGCCCTGAAGCACAGGGCCCAGCCTTGCTCCACCCCAACCCAGGAAACAACTGACTACCCTCCGTCCCAGGAGCATCTCTGGAACATATCTGAACTCTTTATAAAACAGCTGGCAGGTGGGCTGAGCTCCTGAGAGCTCTTGTCCACTGCCTCACAAGCCTTCTCCTTTCCAAGTGTCCCCACCTCCTGCTGCCTCCCGTCCCTTCAGTCTGACGAGAAAAGGACTCTGCACTGGAGACAGAGTGTGATTGGGTCAAGAGAGTGGATCAAAAGCAGCTCCAATAATGAGCGCTCCAAAATCCAGTTCATCTGGCCCTCCTGAGCGAACGCCACGGCCCCCTTTCAGGGAGCAGATCCCTCCCACCTGGGGCTCAGAGTCGGAAGGGTGACTCTGGTTCCCGCCAACGCCTGCTCTGACTGGCCGGCCCGGCCCGGTGCCAGGCATCGCAGGCTCTGTGCAGGGTACACGTAGAGCAGGCCCGCAGCGAGATTTATGGCTCTGCGTGATGGGTTCCCTCCCACAGAACGGAGGAGAGACACAATCTGCTAGAAGTGACTTTTCAAATTATCTGCAGAAAACATTAGTGGATATTTTCCCATCTGCGTGCCTCCAGGCCTTATTGAGTCATAAAAAGTAAATGATTTCCCTGAACGCTTTGACAAACCTGAGAGTTCCAAGCCATTTTTGAGCTGATTGATTTGCCATTATGGATCAGACTGTTGCATACAGGCTCCTTGGCAAAGACGGGGCTGCAGAGAGAACCTCGGGCCCCTCGCAGAGGAAAGGCACGGCCGGGGAAACCGGGGGAGACCAGGCCTGCTTAGCGTGGAGTTGCTACAGAGCACATTAGGAAGCCTTCTCAGAGGTGGTGGCTCTGGAGATCGTCCTAAAAGGAGGCGGCGGGTAGGACAGTCAGGGAGGTGGGGGAGGAGTGCCAATCAGAAGAAGTGGAAACAAGCACCGAGCCTCCTCCTGCACTACCAAGGTCAGCAGAGCGCAGAGAACAGGACCAGAAGCTAAAAATAGGAGCTAACTGCTAAGGACATCATGCTCAGGCCTTCAAAGATGGGCCCGTAGGGCGGGGGAGAGGCCTCGAGCAGTGACCTTGAGGCCAGTTGTCACCAAGATCCGGAGCTGGCCCGCTTCAGGAGGAAGGACACGCTGATCCCCGCTCCACACCTTCCCTGGCGGTTATTCGGTGCCGGAAGAGGCGCGTTCTGCGCCGACTTCCTGCGGCGCCCTCAGTCTAAGGGAGCAGGGAGGCCTTGGCCGCTGCAAGAAGATGAGGCGGAAGCGGTCTCTGGGTCAAATCCGCGCTTTGTCATCCCGGTGGAGTCTCAGTTCTCACTCTTGCCGGGGGCTATGTAAACAGCCACGCGCCCTGAGGAGGGATTTTAGTCCCCCAGAGTGGGTGGCCCAGCCCAAGATTTGCTGCGAGGACAGTGGGGGATGAGAGGTCGCCCCTCTTCCTCCGCAGGGTGGAGTCGTTTACCGAAGGCCTAGGAAGGTCACCGTCGGTTGAGGCTGTGGGTACAGCCAAGGAGCTAACGACAGAGGCACCATGGCAGACAGCCTGACCCACGCAGCCCCCAGTCCAAGCACCAGAAAAACAAAACACGCCCGCCTGTTACCAAAAAAGCAGAAACGAGCTGGGCGTGGCTCAGGGGTAAGAGGCTTTTCTAACGGACCATCGGCCCTGGTTCCCTCCCAGTGCTGCAAAGAAAGAAAGTAAAAACAGCGGTGCAAGATCTGCGGTACAAAATAAAGACACAGCCTTGGAGGCCCAGAGCAAAGGAACGGCCGGAACAAATGAGGCGGTCAGAAAGGCGTCCGCCTACGTGACAGCTGGAAGAGTGTGGAGGACACAGGCAGGCGGGCAACAGGAGAGTGGCATTCAAGACAGAGGCATGGAAGCAGCAGGTGAAAAAGAGCTCAAGCAGAAGCCCTGCGCTTCCCAGCGCGACCGAGGACACTGCCTGGGCCCGCTGTCCGGGGATTCAACGACAACAGACCAGCCCGCAGACGAGAGCCTTAAGTGGGGCATCTGTAAGCCCAGTTGTGAAGGGAACTGCACAGAACTGAGGTGTTGTGGCCTTTCTGGGGGCAAAGGAGGGCCTGTGAAAATAAGGTGCCCCCGTGGCAGCTGTGTCTCAGATTGTTCCCAGTGAAATTTGTTTTCCTGAGATACACCTTGCCCTTTACATTCCTGTGCTCATGACACCAGCAGCTCCCCACACACAAACAGCAGGCTGTGCAGACCGCTCGGTTCTGCCTTATGCAGTCCCTGCTCCCCACCTCCCCGGCCCATGCTGAAACTGTTTTAAAAATCCAAAGCGGGCACCTAGCCCGTCTACAACAGCCACGCCAGCCAGGAGGGAATCCTGCCCACCGCAGCTCTACTCTCTCCGTCACCATCCCTGCCCGCCTGCAGGCCCTCTGTCTGAAAGGCCTAGTTCCCCTCCCCTCTCCCTGCCGAGGTGCCTTTCATCCCTCAAGGACCATCAAAAACTGCTTCCTCTGCAGGACATGGTGGCGCACACCTATAATCCCAGCACTCGGGAGGCTGAGGCAGAAGGATCATTGCAAGTTCGAGACTAGCCTGGGCTACACAGTGAGCTCAAGGCCAGCCCTGCTTCCTCCAAGAAGCCTTCCCACAGATCTTGCTCATCCAATCACAATTCCCCTTTGCTCCTCCACTGTAGCACCCCGTAGGCTCACCTTGGAGCTGCCTACTGTGAGGCTCTCTCCCGGCAGGGGTCCGGTGGGAAGCACTGAGACTTTTCCCACTGTGCTCCCCACAACACACGTGACAGAAATGTCTGCAGAGTGGGGGGGAACCTGGCAAACTCCTCCCTCAAAGCATCCTCCACTAGGTGGTAAAGAACTAGGGGACGACGGCCTGGCCCCTGCCCGGGGCCTCCTCCTGCTCTGGCCCGGCCCCCGTGCTTGTTACGTCCGCCCTGTGCTTGAGACCATGAATACTGTGTGTTTTGTTGTTTTGTCTTTTTGACGCAAGGTTTCACTGTGCAGTTCAGGCTGGCCCTGAACTCTCAGCGATCTTCCTGCCTCAGCCTCCCAAGGGCTGGGATTACAGGCGTGCACAACTGTACCCAGCTGAGACCATAAATGCTCTGTAGGTGAACTTATGAGGGCTTTTTCCTGCTAGGCACAAAATGAGCTGATGAATTCGGGCCTGTACCTGATGCTGCTGCTTCACCTGTATGAGCAGAGGTTTGCAGAACTCATGAGACTCGGCTATGGGCGGCTTTCAAGAGAGAGGGTAAGTCTGCCCCTGACCTGCAGCCTGGAAAACCCCAGAGCGGTGCAACTGCTGAGGTCCTCACAGACGCTCGGTGGGAGATGGGATTAGCACTGTTAGGGCGAAGCTTCAGCAGCCGCTGAGTGTGTACACAGAGACTCTCCGGCTGGACAGTAAGTGATAACCACGCTAATGGCTTACTGTTAATCACGAGTGGGAGTTAACTGGTCACAGAAGTGACAGACTCTCTAGGGATATTTACTCCCTGGATTGGAGGCCAACAAGGGTGGTAGGGCTGGATGTCCACCGCGTCTGGCCACGCCCACTGCCCCAGCATGGAAGATCTGTGAGAAAGCGGTACCTCCCCAAAGGAGAGATGAGTAGCGATCAAACCATAAGACCTTCTTCCTGCTTTGCTTTGGATCCCAGAGTAGATTGTGTGTGTGTGTAGATTATATCCATGTGTGTGTAGATTATGTGTGTGTGTGATGATGTCTGTGTGTGTGTGTAGATTATATGTGTGTGTTGTATAGATTATGTCCGTGTGTGTGTGTGTGTGTATAGATTATGTGTATGTGTAGATTGTGTGTGTGTGTGTAAATTATGTCCGTGTGTGTGTATGGTAGAGTGTGTGTGTGTGTGTAGATTATGTCCGTGTGTGTGTGTAGATTATGTGTGTGTGTGTAGATTATGTCCGTGTGTGTGTGTGTGTGTGTGTGTGTGTGTATAGATTATGTGTGTGTGTGTGTGTGCACGCGCACACTTGCTGAAGGAGACAGGCTGCCAGGAAATTAAGTTACTGATGACCCCTGTATTTACCAGGAGCACGGCTCCCCTTAACAAGAAGCCTGGGCCCGCTGGGAGTCCGCGGGGTAGCGGGAGAGGCTTAGCTCTGTTACCACCTGGGCTTTGGCCTTTGCAAAGTCAGTGACAGTCTGACCCACAAGGGGTCCTAGGACCCGTGGCCGTCATCAGGCCAGCCCTGTGAGCCCCACGGGGCTTCCCTGTCCATCCAGGGGCTGTCCCTGCCCAGGCCAGGCAAGGCCTCCTTGAGGACAAGAGCATCCCCTTGCTTAGGGTCCTGGCTGGGGTGGCTGTGCTTTTAGGGTTCCCAAGGCACCCAGAAAGCATGAGTCTTGACCTGTACTCCTGTCAGGCGGGCCGGCCTAGCCGGTGAGCCAGCGTGGCAGCGGACTGAGAGTTCCGAGGGAACGTTTTCCTGACCGGCCCTCTTGCCCCGGGTACCTCCTCACTGTCTTCTTTCTCCTCCCTCCTCCTCTCGCTCTCTCTCTCTTCTCTCTGTCCCTCTGTCTGTCTCTGTACCTCTTTTCTCTGTATCTCTCTCTGTATCTCTATCTCTCTCTGTATCTCTTTTCTCTGTATCTGTCTCTGTATATCTCTCTTTGTATCTCTCTCTCTTCCCTCTGTATCTCTCTATCTCTGTATCTCTCTCTGTATCTTTGTATCTCTTCTCTCTGCATCTCTCTCCTCTCTGTATCTCTCACTCTTTCTCTCTCCCTTCTCTCTGTATCTCTCTCTCTCTCTCTCTCTCTCTCTCTGTCTCTCTCCATCCTCCTGTCTCTCCTTCAAAAGGAAGCATCCGGCAGCACCAGTCACTGGCCAGAGGCTGGAGTGGTCATTCCAGGGATTCCTTAAACTGCTGTGCACTCTCTGACCTCAAACTGTTGTAATATTTCAGCCACCTCTATTAAAAAATGGGGATTCAAAACCATCAGTCAGAAGAATTCTAGATTCACTCCTACTTTTTTCCAGCTTAAATTTTCCCCTTAGACCCTGAGCTCCCAATTAGGAAAACAGACTGGGTCTCTGCCAACATCTCCTCAAGAATCTCACCCTCCTTTTGACCCAGGCCTGTCCTTCCTTAGCTCTTCCATAGTTTTAATGGTGACATAAATTCCTCAGAGAAATACTTTTTTTAAAAAAAAAAAAGAAAGTACAGGAAGCAGATTATGATCCTTTGTTAACATTTCTGTAACTTCATTTTCCTGATTCCACATCTTTTTAATGAACTTTTTATTGCACACTGAACTTCAAAGCACCCAGAGTTGATGTAGGTTACAGATGGCCCCAGGATCAGCGAACTAAAGCAAATGACATCAGCCACTAGAACAGCAAAGCAAACGTGGGAAGACAAACAGTACAACCCCATGGATGAAGACCAAGGCCCTAGAGCAGTGATGGTGAACCTTTTAGAGCTTTCAAAGATACCAACAGCCCTCTGTGGCACACATGCCATAGGTTCGCCACGACTGCCCTAGTGCACTGACTCTAAGGAAACTTCCAGTAAAACTCTTTTGGAGAAGGAGTAAGTTACACCAGCAACAAGCTGGGAAGCAGCATAGAAAGAAGCAGCACAGGCCACGTGAGCTTATCTCACCACTGGCTCACGTTTCACTAGAGAAACTCTGAAAAAGATCTTACCCATCTTCACCACCAAGCAATAGCTGGTACAAATAGCCCGTTCAGAGGAAACAGAAAATACAACCAATTGGATTTACACCTCAGTATCTTCCTATGGAAGCTGCATGCTCTCTAAAGGTATCATTTAGCAAAAGAGAAGCCCTGTGTTGGAAGAGAACCCTTCCTCCCACTCCTTATCAATGGAACTGGAGAACCGAAGCCATTCACGCTGGGCTTCTTGGCTGTGTTTCATTAAGAGACCCATGACAAACGCCTGTTCCCGGGGGCAGTCATCACCTCCTCACTTTGACATGCACAGTCCTGCACCAGGGGCTGAGATGGGATCAGGAAGGTGATGTTATGATGCCCTTGCCTTTGAGGAGCTTAGGATCAAGTGAGAGATGACACTCACATAATTATAAACTCTGGAAACTACTAAAAGGTAGCTCCTGGGCAAGGGAACTCAGGCCCAGTAAATTCCCAAAGGCTGTGAAATCACAGCAGCTTCCCTGGTTGGGGCTTCTGGTGAGTCAGGCCTTCTATGTCTGTCTTTCCTGATGCTGGGCACACAGTGAGTTATGGCTGACTGCTGACCGTGCCCCATGCACTATGGATCCCAGGGACACTGGGTGATTTCAAATGTGTCAAATGACTGCTGAGTAAGGAAGTGGTGTGCATGGGTCAGAGGCATTCATTAGCAACTTGGGGATGAAATTCTTTATTTCTTTTGTGTCCCACAGTTGTCCAGTGCCTAAAAATTGCCCAATATATAATAGATGCACAGCTTGGGCATGGTGGTACACACTTGCAATCCCAGCACTTGGGAGGCTGAAGCAGGAGGATCACCATGAGTTTGAGGCGAGCCTGGGCTACATAGTGAGTTCAAGGCCAGCCTGAACTACCTAGCAAGACCCTGTCTCAAAAAGCAAACAAACAAACAAACAAAAACAATGACAAAAAAATAGATGCTCAATAACTTGTTGGTACACAATGAGCTAATGAATCAGAACACACTTCTTACAGGAAGTAAGTCTTGAATTATGTTTTGGAGAAAGTAAAAGTACAAATTTGTAGAAAGAACAGTATTCCAGATAAGGAACACTCCTAAATGCAAGGTATACGCATTTCTTCTGCACACCTGTTACACGCCCAGTTCTAAATGAGATCCTGGGAATGCAGAGATGATTAAGACACAACTTGCCTGTAAGACTCAAAGCCAGAAGAGAGGATACACTTGTCACGGAGAGTACCCCAAGCCATGCTGTGCCCGGATAGAAGACCAAGGCAGACAACAGGGAAATACCCAGCAGTTAGATGAATGGAGGGACCGCCAGTCTTGCCTCCTCCTTCCACCCTTTTCCAGGATGGACTCTGCAGCTCGGCTCTTAGAGATCAGCTGGTGCCTTACTTTTAATCCGTCAGGTTTTGTCTGCCCCTTGCGGTCAGCCTTTATTGAGAGCTTGGTAGCAAACCTGCTTCCATTACCACTCCTCGCAACTCGTCCACAGAGGACGTGTTTAGACTGAATCCTGGAGACCCTCGGACAGGGCGAGTAGGGAGGGAAATGCAGCGGTGTAGCGACACGGAAAGATTCGTACGTTGGCAGAAAAGGAGTTGTGTGGCTGGGGCTGGCAGGAAGTGACCTGAGGTACAGGCAAGGACCCCATCAGGAAGTGCTTAGGTGTGACACTGCAGGCGCAGGGACAGTACCCACCCAGGGGTTGACGGGCTCAGAGGTTTGGCAGCTGTGTAGCTGTTGAAATGGTGCAGAGCAATTAGGGGCTCGTGTGTGGGCACGAGAGATGGGTGTGGGACGGGAAGGGCTGAAGGAAGTATCGCTGCTGTGCTCCGCACATGCCCAGTAAGAAGCGCTTCCGGAGCTAGGACGGGAGCATCTCCAAGAGCACAGGACCTCAACAGGCTCTCCTGACCCCCACGGCTCCTCTGTCAGTCTGATGGGGACACCTGCAAGGTGCAGCTAACCGGACTTGCCTTCCCTGCCATTTTTATTTCACACCTACACAGGACACCCCATTGTCTGGGCTCTGCTCTCCCAGACCCCCACCCTGGGCTTCCTCCACGCCTGGCTCTTGTCTCTCTGTGATCATTGTGATGTCTCCTGAGGACATTATAATTTGTCTTCCGCAGCAGGTGTGCTGATAATGATGAAAATACAGGCTTAGAAAAACCTCCCCACTCACCAAGGGGGAGCATCCTGGTATGGCTGGTCACCTAGGCATGATCACCTAGCACAGCACCTAGTAGCAGGTTAAAGTTACCTCAGAAGCCCAGAGAAAACGGAGGTGGAGGTCAACGTCGTCCTGATGCATAATTTACTGTGTAGCCAGGACCTGCTACTGGAGATGAAATTCCATCCTCCTCCGCCTCCCTCTATGGGCACAAAGAGGGGCCAAGGTACCAGGGCCGCCTCTACACTGGCCAGGCAGTGGCCCAGGAATAGTGTCCAACACCCCAGCCTGTGACAAAGCCCCTCTTCTTCTAGCGGAAGAGCACCAGCCCCTCTGCAGAGGAGTCCACATCCTTGCCTGGCACAAGGGCTCCCACGGAGAACACAGTGTTTCTTATTGTGGCATGAAATGCCATAAAGGCAGAACAAAGAGAGCGCCCAGGGCCTTGATGGGTCTGCCGCTTCCTGCTGAGCGGAGAATACAACCGATTGTTTAAAAGCCAGTGGTGGGGCAAGTGGCCAATTAGCACAGCCCTCGCCCCTGCGGCCTGGCCTGTAAATGCGACTGGGACCATCCGAATTGGATTCTGCTACTCAGATCAATTGCTGAAAGGAAGCCCACTGCCAAATTTAGAAGCCCCAAACAGCAAAGGTGACCCGGCTTATCACTGCAGCAGCCCTGGGGCGGAGCCCTGGCCACGCTGGGTATCCACACAGCCCTCCGCATCTCCACCCGCTCCCTGCCCCTTTAAGGTGATGTAAGGGATTCCTAGAACAGTCCCGAGACTGGGGGATTGTACATCTGTTCACAATTGCATTGGAAAAACAATTCATTTCTCATTGTCTTCTTTCTCACAGTTGTCAAGCAATCACCCACAACCCAGACCAGAAGAAAACGAAAGTAGGTTTGGGGGTCAGTCCTGCCTTTCTGAGGGTGTGTGCTAAACCGCTCTTTTTCTGTTACCGTGTTAACCTTGACGCTGTGGAGGGGGGGAGTTAAGACCACTGCCCAGAGGCAAAAGCAACCCCCCAAAGCTTGGGGAACTGTAGCTGCAGCAAACAGTCCAGAATGCCAGTCCAAGCACGCTGGGTACAGAGCAGATGAGAATTTTAATTCATCCTGAAAGTAAGGGAAAAGATCAACGAAGGGGCAGAGGGCATCAGCATGCTTTCCTCTTTCTTTTCCTTTTTTTTCTTTTGCGGGTGCGGGGTGCGGGGGGAGTTCCTGCTAGGATCCTGCCTGGGATTTTCCTTCCCAAACCCTGAAATGCACTTCCTGGCCATTACCGAAAGAAACCACATTCAGTGACAGGCAGGTGACTTGATAGGATTCCCTCATCACAGGCCCAACCCAGTGGGTCTGTTGGATTCGCAGGCTGAACAAAGCAAACAGGTCTCTGGAGTGAGGGTCCTCAAGGGAGGCAGCAAGGCCGTCTTCCAGCGGAGTGTGGGAAAGTCTCCCCTGGGTTCCGAATTCCCCCGAGATTCCAACTGGAGAAAAAACCGTGCTTAATTAAAGCAGGGGCGCTCCAGGTCAAACTCGGGAGGAACTTCCCATCCGCAGGGGAAGGAGCGAACCGAGCGGGGTGTGGCCGTGAGGGCCCCCGAGGTTCTTGGGGACCAACTGTGCAACCGCCGGGCCGGCAAGGCTCCACGCTGGCTCGGCCCCTGGCATCACCGGAGAACTTACCCGAACACAGCTTCCCGGGCCCTGGCGGCGCCGCGGCCTCCGGCGCGGGGTGGAGCCCCGGGCGCCTCCTGCAGCCTCGGC